TAATAATAATTGTATTATATTATATTACATTTTATATATTATATTGATAGATAAAATATTAGTGTTATATCATAAGGGTAAGTTTGTCAGCGTGAAAATATTCATGTTCCATTCTAAAAAATTCTTAAAATTACAACCAAGCAAATGAATCAATTTTCTTTTTCATTTCATTCCCATTATCATTTTCATTTTTATTCTCATTACTATTCCCTCACTGTAACCAAATGCACTCTAGACTTGTTTAGTTAGGAGATTCGTATTCCAATTCGAACCATGATTCATGGTTCGCTATAATATTTTTTTTCATAAAAAATACACGTAAATCAAAAATAATTTTAATCTTATAATTCTAATCCACGAACCAAACTTCTTCAATAAACTTGAAAACCGTGGGATTAACCCCTCGAATTAGAAAGAAAAAAGAACTCCACTAATTTAAAAATACATAAAAAATCTGGAGTGGATATGTAGCATGTGGTCATTGGTGGCAATGGGCCATGGCCAGGTGGGCCCCAGTCCACGATGTACATTGCCAGGTTTACCCTCCGCCCCTAGTTTTTCTTCCTTCGGCCAACTTTTATGTAGTGCTGGAACTTCGGGTCGGCGGGCCGCCCGAAGCCCGAATTTTTTTGGGCTCGGGCAGGCCGGCCCAATTCCCGCCTGTCCAAGTAAGAAATTCGGGTTCGGGCTCGGGCAGCCAAGACATTTGCCCGCCGCCGTCTAACCACCGTATACCGCCGTCCGCCGGGATTTTTTTACATTTTTCCGACCAAGCCCGACCCGAAAATTGGGTGTGCCTGAATTGCCTGACCCGAAGCCCAAATTTTTGAATTTTGCTTGAATTTTTCCCGCCTGCCCGACTTGCCCGACCCGCCCGAGGTGCCCGAATTGCCCGATTTTCCCGCCTGCGCGACTTGCCCGACCCGCCCGAATACCCGAAAACGGCTAGTTTTTTGAATTTTGCCCGAAAACCCGAAAACGGCTAGTTTTTTGAATTTTTACCCGAATTCGGCCCGAAAACCCGAGTTGCCCGAACTGCCCAAACTGCCCGATTTGCCCGAAAACGGCTAGTTTTTTGAATTTTGCCCGAAATTTGCCCGAAAACCCGACCGGCCTGAGTTTCCCCGACTGCCCGACCCCGAATTTCAAAAAACTAGCCGTTTTATCCCCTTTTTTTTGAAAAAAAAATCATTTTTTAACCCCAAAATGTCCCTATAAATACCCCCCATCCCTTACATATTTTTCTCACTCAAACTCTCTCAATCCCTCTCAATCTCTCTCAATTTCTCTCAATCTCTCTCAAACTCTCTCACAATTTTTCTAAAGCTCTCTCTCTAGTGTCTATCAAATTCATCTTATTTTTTTATAATGGATCCTTTTAGTTATAGTGGTATTCCCGTTGATGCCCAACACAATGTAGAAAAAGGGCAATTTCCCACTAATGAGTTTGTTACGCAGCAAATGCAATCTACTAATCCAAGCCATGGTGGACGTACTGGAGGTCGTGGTCGCAATAGTGGGCGTGGAGAAGCGGCAGCGAGTGCGACTGCGTCTGCGTCTGCGTCGGCAAGTGTTGCAACCTCCAGGAGAAAATGCAAGCGTACCTCGACAGTTTGGGATCACTTCGACATAATTGACGAGGTGGATAATGAAGGTAACACTAAACATATAGCTCAGTGTAAATATTGTTTATCTAAATTACAAGGCGACACTATTCACG